ATAGTGTAAATAGCATAATCAGCTTATTCAGAGCATTTGTTAAAAATTCAGTATCAGCTTTCTGAAATGCTCARTTTCTTTGCTCTGAAAATTTCAYCATTGTCTTTTCTAAAGACATGAACAATTGTAAAAGTATAAAAAACTGTTCCTATCTCTCTTTTTCTTYATTTTATGGTASTTTTAGGAACAATCTTTAAGGCTCMATCTTTTCTTTGATTTCTCTTGAGAAAAAAAGAAAAAACAGGAAAAATCTCTTTACGTCTCAGCATAACTAAAGAGTCTTTCACTCAGTGGCATCTCTAATCTTCCTATAATGGTATTGGTAAGAAAATGGGGGATGGGGAAAGAGATCAAGACCTTGTATATTGRTATTCTCTGTATCTGCTTAATTTTGCGGAATTTATTTTGTTGAAAAGAGTGGTGAGAACCAAGCTACCATTTCTATCACCATTTTCAATTCTAGTGATATTGAGATCCAGAAATTGGCTAAAATTAATTTCTAGTCCTTCAAACATACATTTTAATTTTCTCTATACCAAACTAAGGCCAGACTGAATTCTTCAGCCCAATATAGCTGTGAAGATTAAAATGTCAAAGTACTTTTCAGTGATTTCCCCAGCTTGCTCATACATGCCATTGATTTTATTTTCTTTCGCATTAGTCTTTCCCGAGAAGCCTGAGACTGAAAAAATAAATTGCCTGGACCTGTTAATAGTAAGCGTGGATAGAATTAAGTCTTTTTTCATAGACCCCAGTTCAGTATTTTGTTCAAGCATAGACTGGGCTCTTCTGAGCAAACTTTTGCAGCAGTGGCTGAGGCACATGCTGGCCCAGATGTTGTTGGAACAGAACGGGAGCCACACAGCTTTCCATAAAAACATACAGAGCATCTGTATCTCTTTGAGCAGAGTGGCACAGCTCCTACATGCAAAATTTTTATTTGTTCCAAGATACATACACTACAGGTGGGTGACCAGTGGCAAAGACTGGGGGGCACACAGCGGATGTGTCACTACAGCAGTTTTTAAAGGAGTGAAACAGACGCACGTAGGAGAAAGAGCATAAGGAGCAATCACTTGAACAAGTCATGAGCTCCATTTCTGTGTGCTGGTAATTTGTTGAGTCTGAACCCCAGCAAAATAATGCACTCAGTTCCTTGTTTGCTGTAAGTTACAGATATAGACAAAGAAAATTGCTGCTCGTAACTTAGTAATTCAGAGAGCAAGCATGGGATGCAATGAACAGAACACTGAAGAAAGCAGTACAAGAGACAGAAGGTTCCCTGTTACCCTATCACATTTAATATCCCTCTGTAGGTTCTTGAATGCAGATTAAGTGAGCAAAGTTCTCCAACAGAAGTAAAAAAATAAACACCAGGGATTCTCTAATGCTTACTGCTCAATTGTATTGTTCYATAACTTTCTGAGGAATGGAGAGCTTGAGAAAAATAGAGGTTCTTTCTTTATGGTTGGACATTTTTAAGTTATCATTTGTAAAACCACATGAAATGATTTAGTTGTCAAAGAATTACATAAATAAAACATTACATAAAAGACATCTCAGTACAATTTACTGTGAAGCGAATTTCACAAGGACCAGTCTATTGTAGAAAATTCAACTTATCTCTTCCTGGTCCTTTTATTCTATCTAAACACAGAAATTTATGTCAGTTCAAAAAAAATCTATTACTGTTTCTCATAACTGAATCCATTATTTTCCCTCCRTGATCCATCAGGTAAAAACAAGTGTAATAGACAGTTCTAGCAGAGCCTTGAACATAAAAGGCATCAAGAATAGAATGAGATCTGTTAAACCTATCTTGCTGTGCACTATAACTGGAAATGATAACCTTGAGATTTAATTTAAAACAAGTCATACAGCAAAGACTTCTGACTGTAATTGTTATCTGTCATATAAATAAAATTATTATAAAATGGAAATGGGCTTGAAAACGTATAGTTTTGCTTGTTGCATTGCCTGTAAGCAAATTGAACTCTGCGAAAGTTTATCACTCTATGCTGCCTTCTTCCTCCAGTCTTCCTTAATAATGGATCCATTTGACTGCAAAAAGCTGGAAAGAAAGAGCAGAAAATAAATGATTCATTTTCCATGTTACTTTTTATTTCCAGAGCTTTACTGATTCTGTTGCTTTTAGTGATTTTTGCCTCCTTTTTTCCCCTGCCAGCCCAAGGGGAAACAAAAATACAAAATTAGCCCTCATATCAGAGTGGCTGCATTTCGCTTGTATAAGCAGTTTCCAGACAGGCAAAATGAGGGATTGAGTACAAGTGCCATCGATTTAAGCCAGAAAGAGGAACCAATGGATCTCAAATCWGCACCTGTGGTTTCCAAGCTCGGCCTCCACTGGATTGTTCGTAGTGGTGTTGCGGTTGTTTGCCTTGTACTTCTGTGGAGCCGATGTGCCAGGCCATCGAATCCACAAGTGGCAAAGGGACTCTACCCAGCACCAGACTTAATGCAACCCAGAGCAAGAGAAAAATGAACAACTGACTTTCCTGCCTTTTCTTACTTTCCAATTTGCTGTGAAAAGAAAGTGCACTGGTCTTGGGATATACATCAGTGAGGTGGAAATGGAGCTCAGGCTTGGAAGACAAAGATTGACTGCATCTTTTCACCCACAGTACATTATGGGGAGCGCAGACATGCACAGGCTGCCTCAAAGATGAACACAAAATTAATTTACGCAATGCAGTGCCTATAATGAGACACACCAAAGTGAACCTACCCGCTGCCTTCAGACAGCACTGCTGCTCCCCCACCCTGGGCCAGCACACAGGAGAGGCAGCTGSCACATCCCAACCCCATTAAGGAGCTGCAGCTGTAAAAGCACACAGASAGAAAGCAGAGCTGGAGTAGCAGATGCAGCAGCAGGGAAAGGTCCCTGCCAGCAGCAGCCCYGTGTGCCAGGCTGATCACCTGGAGGCCATCACACGCAGGTGATGCTCCTCACACAGCTCAGCAAGTGCAGCTCGCTTGCACCTTCTGCTCCTTTCAGCCTAAGGGGGCTCCTGAGACCACACTTGGTAGAGGGAGCTTGAAACAGCRAAATGCAGTTGGCAGCGTGTGGATTTTTGCACACATTCCTCAGCAAAGGGTCTCGGCTCTGCCAGATTCCTTTGCTGCAGCAAACACAGAGCACCCTGCCAAGGATGCTTCAGAGGAGAAATCCTGTTTTGGGGCTCACCATCTCAAGGAGCTTCTCTCTCTCTCCTTTGACTATAGAAGAAATTAAGGAGACAAAGAATTCCATCTAGCTGGACAAATAGACTTTCTGCTCCATAAAGGTTGGTTTAKGAACATATCGTAGAGGTGGGTTTTCTTCAGAATTACTGGTGTCACTTCAGTGGAGTTTCTCAAGATCCTGTTGACTTCTACCTGAGGGCAGAGGCCAGCACAGAGCAGCTTGGACCAGTTGGTGTCATTTTGGAATTCTGAAAACTTTGCTGTTTACCTGCTGTCAATTCTTTTTTTTTGTTGTTTTTTCTGGCAACATGTCTGCTGTGAAATGCACACGTCTGTGCACATCTGTGCTTTTTAAGATTGTATCTTTTATCAGTACTTTGTTTTGTTTTTTTTTTTCCATTGGGCAAACTCAACTTAGATTTGCAACATTCTTAACGTTCTAAGTCTGAAAAGTCACGTTAGAAATACTGGTGGAACATGAAGATCACAAGTTTGGCACAGAGATCTTTCCAAATAACAACATTCCTCTTCTTATTACATAAACCCACTCTGTGGGATTTGTTGACCTCATACTGTAACAGTGCTAAACAAAGCTCCTAGCTAGACAAGAGATGCATGGATTGATGGATGTTTGATAATCATAAATAACACCTTGTTGAGGCCACGAGCCAGCAGCTAGCACAAATCTCAAAACAAGCATGGATGGAGGACAGCAGGAGACTTTGCTTAGGAATCTCCAGGTCCATCCATGCCAATTCTTATCAGATGGGTTTGGCAAAGACATTTAACCTCTTCTTTCAGAGTGGATGATTACTTTCYAAAATTGCATGGATGCTATGACAGCTAATTAATTATAGCTGTATTATGCTTTACAAATTTAATTAGTATAAAGAGAGTTAGTAGAGAGAAAAACTGCATGGAAAATGCAGTTGAACATAGACACAATGCTGGAAAAACACTGTAGTGAGATAGAAAGAGGAGAAAAATAATAAATAAGGAAAGACTTTTGAATAATGAGTACATAAGAGGTGTGCATGAAARAAATGAGCAGTGTGCTGTCTTCCAAAGGTATTAGAGGGGAAAAAGAAATTAAAAATTAGAAGCAAGGCAAGCAAAGATGAATGGATTTGAAATATAAAGAGAAGAAAATAATATGAAAAAGATGTAATAAAAGCAACACAGACCTTAAAGTAATGAATCTTTCCAATATTAGGGGGAAATGGTAGCATACTTATACTGGCCTCACACCATGTTAACACRATACAGCTCTTAATTCCTGAATTATGTTGTTAAATAATTAACTCATGAATCACAAGTAAACAATTAAAATTYGGTTCTATAAACCCAACAACTGAGAATATAAAACTGTCACAGTGATACCAGATTTTAGCAGAGCCAGTATTGTAGTTAGTTAGGGAAAGGGCAAAAAAAATTTTAACATCTGTAGCGATAAAGACTGCTAGAAGTACCTGGGCTCCACTTCTCCAYGGAACAAAATAAAATGGATCATCTATTATTTAAATGTCCTGTATTAAAGATGAATCTGGAGAAGGCAGAAGAAGGGATTACTAGAAACTCTGTTACTAGACCTGCCCGGTTCATGGTTTGGGGGAGCAGGATTGAAAAGGCTGTCACTCTAAAAYACTGAGACAGTCTTGAGTTCATGCYAAAATATCTTTTCCTCYTATATSGCTAAAATTAAGAATCATAAAATCAATCTTTACAGTTCAATGGACAATAACCCATAGGTTCTGTAGCACTATTTAATAATCTTAAGAACAAAGAGCTTCAGGAATCTAATAACAATTTTGTTTATTTTTGTAAAAGCAGTACAGTAGACAAAGTATAAAAAGATCACCCCATGCATCCATAAAACAAAATAATTCCTTTTCTCTCATGAATATCTGTTTATTTTCATATATAGCAAAAGAACATGTACTTCCAAGACTAAACAAGGCAATTAATTTGGATTCTGCCAAATCAGAGTCATCACAGCCACGGGATTACTTTTATTTTTTACAATGAGAGGACTCTGGGAGCACAGATCCTGCTGTGYCGAGCCATCAAATTCCTTCATGAGAACAAACTGATAGGAATGAAAAATCTAAGTAACAGCAAATAATTATTACAATAAAGATATGACAAAAAGCTATGGTAGTTACTTACCTAGTCACATTTAATTTGTTTATACTTGCAAYCTGTTATTTTAAAATAAATAGAAGACATTTTATTTTTTAGGAACACCGACCCCTCCATCTTCCTGATGCTTTGTCTTGCAAAACACCTGTCAGCAGCAAGAGTYTTTGAGGATCAGCAAGGGGATGAGATGTACCAGGGTTCCTCAGCACCCCCAAATAACCCCCACACCTGGGGGGGTTAGGCTGATTCCACAGCTCCCGTTAGCCATTTTGGCTAGAATACGTCCTTCGGGAGCTTCCTGAGGGTTCACTTCCCATGGCCTGGGCCTAGGCATAGGAATAGGACTGGGTGTCGAAGTAGCCCTCCAGCTGCTTGCAGAGCGCTTCGAAGGTCGGCCGCTCGCCGGCGTCGGCGCTCCAGCACCGCAGCATCATCTCGTACAGCGGCGCRGGGCACGTCTCGGGCTGGGGCAGCCTGAACCCATCGTCCAGCAGCTGGATCACCTGGTGTCCTGGCATACCTGCGAGCCAAAATGAGTTCATCAGGCTACTCAGGGACTGCTTAGGGRTGCCATGAGTTCCTCCCTCTCTTCATCAGAGAATCACCGTAGAATGGTTTGGGTTGTAAAGGACCTTGAAGATCACCAAGTTCCAAACCCCTGCTGTGAGCAGGGACACCTTCCACTAGATTTGGTTGCTCAAAGCCTCTTCCAGCCTGATCTTGAACACTTCCAGAGATGGGGATTCATCTCTTACTGTTTACCAGCAGTTAAAAATCACCTCCAACATTTCCCAATCACCTCACCCTGACTGCGCCACCTGCAAGGCACCACAAACAAGTCTGTCCGCATTTGAGGCTTTTCCTCCCCCATTCATATTTGTCAAATTTTTTCTGACATCTACTTAGCTTAAATAGTTCCTAAATCCCTCTAGTCTCATTGACTACAAAATCTCTCAAGAAAACCATCCTGCTGCTGATTTTTCCTCACATTTGAAAACTTTTCCCTAAAGTCAGCCCTAAGTATCCTGGAGGACAGGTGTGCAATGGCATCCTGCCTCCTATGTCACCACAGGATTATTTATGGAGAATAAACCATTCCCCTATCTTTGCTATATGTTTATATCCTAAGACTATTGTCCTGTTCCCTTCCTATTTTTCACTCTTTAAATTAAATCTTGAATTGTGTTTTAACTTCTTTTCCCTAGATCTCTGAATGGTGCTTCCTCTGCACATCACCCACTGCCACCACAAATCAATGTAGCCTCTTCTCCCAGCTGATTACTGAGAACAAACTCCTGGAGGTAATAAATACCAAATAAGTAAGCAGGCATGGCAAAAGGACATTTTCTACATTCAAGATACAGATAAACTATGCTTTTGCAAACGGGTAACACTGACTGCATTTTCAGACAACAACCAGAGCCACAGTGTTACATATTGTTTATATTAAAATCACTTATTTATGTGTTCATATGAACACACCTATGGCTTATATAAGATTTCAGCATATTTTGCTTTGTGTTTTTTTTTCATCAGAACAGTTTTGCAGGAGGTGAAGGTGGGAATCAAAAAGCAAAATCAATTTTTCCTTTTACAGGAAATATCAGTTTGGGACCCTGTGAAATTTAGTTTATGGTAACGCACCACCCCTCAGGCCTGTATGGATGCAACATAACTTTTTTTGCTTTAGTCCTTTCCTTGTGYTCTGCTCACCATCACAAAATGAGTCAGTCAATCATCTCACTGATATCTTGTGTTATTGGAGCCACAGTTCCCTAAGCATTTCTCACAGCACTAGAAAGAGTAGCTGCTCTCAGACTACTATATCTACTTTTGAGGTTGGTGACACTTTATTTTTTAAATTTATTTAATTCTTGTGATCCTTTCCTTTATGAAGATATTTCACTGCTATAGTCAAATATGAGGGAAGGGGGTAAAAACACCCTAATTTATTTTTCAGACACTTTCTTCCTGAAGTGCTTTTGCAGTGCTTCACACATAATCTATTCTTCCATGAGTTATACTAAAAAAAAAAAAATTAAAAAAGGGCAGGTTGGAGAATAAAARGCCCTTCCTTTATTTCTTCCCTTTTTTCCATTTTCCAAGAATTGACATCTTTGATCTGATGCTGGAGGAAAAGAGCCAGCTGGCTTAGGTGCCTGTGCAGCACAGGTTGATTCCAGCAAGAGGAAGCTTGAATGTGTGCTAATCACATCCTTTGCAAAGCTTCCAGGGAGCCTGGGGAAGCCAGAAGGTCTGACCCACTAAATGGACCTCATCTGAACAGCTTTCTTTCTCTCTTTAAAGTTTTAACCCTTTAAYAATTCCATAGTACAGGCATTCAACCTTCTTTTTTTGTGTCGTTCTGAAAAGAAGATAAAATTAGACATCATTCCTGAGGTAAAAGTACTTACCAGCATATGGCATCTTCCCATAGGTAATTATTTCAAACAGAAGTATCCCAAATGACCAGACATCTGATTTAATGCTGAACCTGTTGTACCGGATTGCCTCCGGAGCTGTCCATTTCACTGGGAGTTTTGTTTCCGTCCTAGCTTCATAWATGTTTTCATTTTCTACCTGTCACGGGCGAAACGAAGCAAGCCTGATTTCAGATCTKCTTCAGCAAAGTCCTTAAGCATCTGACCAGGCTCAACACATGTTTAATCTTATCACCTTTTAACCAAACTCTTGTCTTTCAGGTAAGCATCTATTTTCTGAAGTCTATCACTGGATTTGGTTTCGCAGTTGAGAAATGAAGAGGCTTCATCAGAGGCTTTTCTAAAGAATTTATCCCTTCAAGAAGTGATCACCAAGAAAACACACAGCACTGGAGTGGCTCCTGATTAATTATGATTTGTTACTGTGAATTTTGGRCCTGGCATGCAGGATTTCAAAAGCCTGTCAGGAGTGGCAGTGGAAACATCCTGCTGACACTAGAGACAAAATGTCTCCGCGTCTGGTCTTCAGTAAACAGGAAAGGCAAAAGCAAGAGCGAATGAATTTTGGAACCTTTCTTCTGTGATTTATTGTGATGTTGACGGGTCATTGACTTTGATAACAGTCACTTAAGCAGGTTTTTGGGGACCAAAGGATAAAATCTGACTGATCCACATTAACATATTAGCTTCCAGTGTGTCAAATTAATGTAAAGTGTAGGTGAAAGACACACAGAAAAACTGTTGACTTGCAATTTTGTAGAATCATGTTCTTAAAGGCTTATTGCACAGACATCTAAATTTTGTGAACATTTTTYTTCTCTTTAATTCCTACATGTGGTTTAGTATACACAAATCAACCCCAAGTCTGGGTCAAGTTTTTTCACATGCAAATCCAGGCAAATGTACACCAGATTTTGCTTTTTTTGATTGTTTAGTACAGAATGTGTTTCCCAGSTGCAGTGCTCAATAGTTTTGAAAATACTAGTTTTTACTAATGTATATCTCTATACTGATACAGTTGGCATCTTGACCACAAAATTCATCTCTAGAAACAGRAAATTATTTCATTGTAATACATAACGCATGTGAAAATTCAGATTTTATTTCTCACACTTAATTTTTTGTATGTGACCATGTTAGTGTTTTGGCTTAGGACACAAAATTTTCCTAAGAATGTCTGCCCAAATGACTCTATGACTGAATATTTTASTAAAGTTCAGTTTTAACAAGAAATGTCAACAGCTGTAAATTATTGYTCTCTCTAGTGAGGACAGAAGAGAAATATCCATTGTGGGTGTTTTGCATGTACAAATATATATATTTTTATGTTTAAAAACTTGCAATGTGAACTTATGCATATTTAGAAAAAACAAAATTAAGTGAATAGAACTTTCAAAGTCCCTTGATGCCTTTGTTAAGCCATTATTCTMTACTYCAGTATGTAATAAATCCAATTCTATAATGAACTTCAATTTCTGTTGCTTGAATGGAAAAAGCAAACCAAAAGCAGAAGATTTTTTTCACTGTTTTTCCTTCTCAGTGCAACATAAATATATAATAAAACCCAAACAAACACAGACCTCAGAAATTATGGATTACATATTGAAATCCCTAAAATATGGCAAGTTAAATATATCCAACAKTGATTAAATCATTTTCAGAGGTAGGAAATTTCATTTCTGAATCACAGCTCTTTCATAGGGAGATTTTGGTCAGTGGTATTTGGCATTCTCTGCCTTCAAGGGCTAGAGGAAAAAAAATGCAAAACAATGCATGGCAAAGAATTTGCAATTGCGTCAGATTTAAAGCTCTGAGAGCTCACTTTATGAAATTTGCTGTTGGCTGTGGAGAGGAATAAGATCCTTTTATGATTGCTACCTAAGTTTGCAAGCATCATGGAGGCAGTGGGGCAGTGAGCAAGGACAGAAGAGCTGTCAATACATTTGTATATGCCTTCCTTTACAGGCCCAGGTCTATAATTTTTCCACCATTCCTCTCCATCTTGCAGACACTGTGGATAAAGGTTTCCCAGCAAARGGTTTTGCTTGCCAGGCTTTTTCCTGGGTGGCTGGGTGGGAAGCAGACACCAGGATCCTTCAGACGGACACAAAAGCACAGGACAACTTCTAACCTTGCATAGGATAACACAGGTAGAAGATACACATGAACACGTTATAGGTCCTTTTCTCGCTGGGGTAGCCTTTGTCTGAATCCTGCAGTTCAGGGGCTCCAATTCCTTCTTCAGTGAACCTCTTCCACCTCGTTCTCCAGAGATAAAAGCAGAGACAACTAACCCTCTCACAACCTACCTTAAAAACTCTTGCAAGTCCAAAGTCTGCCACTTTGTAAACATTGTGTTCGCCAACAAGAACATTCCTGGCTGCCAGATCCCGATGGATGTAGTTCTGGGATTCAAGGTAAGCCATCCCAGAAGCCACCTGAGCAGCCATGTCTACTTGGTGTGCCAGGAAGATTTGAGAGCCTCCGTCTTCTGTTTAAAAAGAAGATGACAAGAACAACGTAATATTTACAGATTTCAGAYTGAGATTTTCAGACTGAAATAACTGAAAACCTGAGTGCTAAAAGCAGCCAACAGGAATGAACAAAAACACGCAACACAATAAAGTAACAACAAGGCCAAATGACAGGGACTAGTGAATGACATTACTTATTTCATAATTACTGASTAAAATTGCCTGTCCCATCTTCTCTAAATGAGTAGATACTTAATGCAACAGTTGATCTAGGCTGGGAAGGAGCTGCTGACACAGTCCAAAGAGAAAATCTTTTCTCTACTGATAGTAACACAGTATGCATCTTTCTGACAGGTGCATAAAACTGTTCCAAACCGTGAGTAAGAGTTAATGTCAGTACCCAGTGGCCRTAGCCAGAGATGACTAAAGATGGAAAAGCACAGAATTATCCTTGTTCCCTGATCTCCAATGATTCTTACTAGGAAAAATACCGTCTGCTGTCAAGTGTAACTCTCATTTTCACTTTCCAGTCCACTTGACTGCTTCACGCTGTTATCTCTGTTGTTGCTGCTCCASAGTAGGACTCCTTGAACTGTTTTCAAGCTGCTTGCTTCTCCAGTAGAAGTTTTTGAAGCAATGGATATGTATTCCCACCACTCTAAAATAAGTAAATCCCCGAAACTGAGATTTGGCAATCAAACCAAACCTTTGTAGCAATTTGGGGACAACAAGCCAAGCTCCACATAGCAAAGAATTTAARCCCCAAGGTAATCCATGTTAAACCAAATCAGTGTTACATTCAAGGACCACTGTCACCCAATCCCAAATTCTGCAGCACTGAAGCATGAGTTCCTGCCTCTGTAGACTCTAACAATTCAGTTTCAACTTTCTGTTTCAGAATCTTAATATCTAAAAGCTGAATGCTTGCTGCTGRGCTTAGTGGCAGTTCTCCCTTTTCATCAGGTGAGCTACTTACTGCCTCTGTGTTAGAGAAATAAAATTTTTGTAGCTGCCAGKTCTCTGTTGTTTATTTTTAATTGATTTTCAGTGACAGTGTGTCTTAGCATTGTTTTACAYAGCCCCCTCCTGTTCTGGCATTTTATCTCTCATAACCTTGCAATCCCACCTTAAGAAGAGTGTRAAATTCCATTGTTTACTAATCTATTCTGCAATCTCCAGGCCTTGAATTTCTTGCTCGCCTGGATGTTCTGACATGAATAGGCAAAAAAAAAAAAAAATTATTAAATTTCTCCTGTATGTGTATTACCCTTTTTGAGACTAAACTCATTGTCATGATAATCCAACACTAAGATTATTTACTCCTATTGTTGACTCAGAATGTCTTTTCCTCTCTTACATATGTTTCATATTGCCTGGACGTCTAAAAGAGAGAGGAATAAAAAATTGAGCTGTGTGAAAATCCAACAATACAATACTCTGAAGATTTGCAGTTCTGATAACTGGCGGGCATCAACATTTATTATTCAACTTCCTAGACAAGGATATAAATCCACAAATGAAGCTCATGTTGTATTTAATGGGAAAATAGCTAAATGTGTACAAGCACTTTGCATTAGTAMCTGCGTTTTGGAAGTTAGCCTACATGAGAAAATTTTAAATGTTCCCTTTCACACAGCTTCATCTGCTGCTGAGAGCAGACAAGGATGCTAAAAAACTTGAGCACAGTTTTGTCACCGGTCTGCCRATGCTCAGGACAGCCTGACTTAAGCTTGCTTCCAGAAGCAGAAAACAGCAATGTCAAGAGGAAAAGGGATGATTCATCAGCCTCGTGTTTAATGATCTGCTTCAGTGCTGAACAGGAGTTGGAGCTAAACCCTCCCTGCTTTATTCCCTGCAGGACACTCAGGTKCACCATGATAAAGGACAGGGAATGAGATCCACCTCTAACACGAAAGTGGCAGCTGAAAAAACTTTTCTGTCCCTGGGGCCTCTTTGGAACACCAGGCTGGCCTGACCCACTGCCTTTAGCCTGTGGGCTGAGGGAGGGGGAGAGGCCACTCTCGCTCTGGCGAGAGCGAGAGCTCCAGTGTCTCTTGGATGATCACCCTCTGTAAAATGGTTCTGCAATGCAGCTGTTATGGAGCTAAAGAAGGAAACGTTTTAAGGAGGAGCCTCAGCTGATCAGGAGCTACAACTACGCACAGAGATAGAGGATGAAATCATGGGTCTCTTTGGGATCTGAAGGGTAAATCATGCATGGCTGCCTCATAAAGATTTCTCACAATACCTCCAAAACTCTGGGCTGGGCCAGACAAAGCACACAAGTTCAAGCACAACTTGTCTAGGCAACCTGTCCCATGCCTCACCACCCTCATATTGAAGAATTTCTAAGAATCACCTAATGTGATTACCTAATGTAAACCCCCTGTCTTTCAGTTTAAAGCCATTCCCCCTYRTCYTGTCACTACCTGGTCTTGTAAAAWGYCCCTCTCCAGCTCTCTTGTAGGTTCCCTTTAGGTACTGGAAGGCTGTTATAAGTTTTTATGTATGTATATATATCTATGTTCATATAGCTATGTCTATGTTCAACTTTAGCACTCAAAATCATGCACTACTGCTAAATTTAAAAGATCTTCCCATGGATTATTCCTTAACTGATTAAGAAAATGTAGCAACTCCATATCCTTTTTTACTAATATTTTTCAACAAAGCCCTCAACCTCATATGAAAAATTTATTAGAGAAAATATTAAAGAAGTCTTGGGGTCTGCACCCTGTTCTAAGCAATCAATCACAATATCTTATAKAGAAAAGACAGGAAAATATTCTCATTGACAGATATCTAACACTAAAAAAAGAGAAAAATAAATAAGTGGCACTTTCTCCAGTGAGGTCATTGCCTCCATAATAATTCACTGAACTTCAAGACTGCGTCCCTGCCAGAACAAGCCCCAGGTCTATCAGAACTGATAAAAGCACTCATACATTTATKACAATTTCATTCACTTCCAATTACTAAGAAAAGTTTTCAGGAGCATTTTTCTCATATTGGTGGCAGCTCAATAACTCTGCATAGCAGTGTTCGTCATGAACTCTCCCAAAGTACATTTACAGTGTGCACAGGGAATTCACATGTCCATCACTATTAAGTAGCTGTCACTATGGTGAAATGTGATAGTAACTGTGAATAAAATATTAGGRACTTTTAGAGCTGGAAAAGCATACCATGCAGTTCTAGGAGAGGAGTAGAAACAACGAATATCTCTGGACTTTCCTCAGCTCTAGTTTGCCATATTTACCCATAGTGCACCCAGAGACAGAAACTTTCTGGAAATATTTTCCTGTTCCCTGCAGAGCTTAGTCTCAAGAAAACTTATCAGGAGCTGTGCACTCCAGCCAATACAGGACACTCACAGTCACAMAGATCTATACAAGCTTCAAACCTCTCTCCTCATTATTCTCACTGACAGCAGCAACTTCYCTCTCACCACAGTACCTATCAAAGCCCTTGGATCTCTGCCTCCACCTCTTAGTTCTGTGCACCTCCCTGTGCTTCAGCCACCAGACAAGGAGGGATACCACTAGGCTGGGTTTCAACTGGACATTTTTATGGATATCTTGGTGGCTGCCTGGAAACCAATTGAYTTTCCACAKYCTCTGRTGRAGAGACACAGGASCARGCTCTTGGGCAAGGAGYAGAGTGCTGTGCATGCACTGGTGAYTGATCCACATACARGCTGCARCGCTGATGTGCCCTGGACCTGTTTACTCTGTGCACACAAACAGCAAATTTTTACCTCTGCAATAGCTGTGACTCATCCTGGCTTTCTCAGRGCTATTTCTCCAGTGCAATAAATGTTCCCATGCACAGCAATAATTTCCTGATGTGCCAGGCTCTTTCAATCAGATAAGCAGCAATCTGCACACAAAGGCACCAAATATGAGAATTTAAAGGAAATTTGTGCCTTGATACCTCTGGTCAGTAAATGCCTACAAACTGTAGATGATCTGGCCCATGGTCACTGCAGACCCTCTCTGGGCAGCTCCTGGTAGGGCTGCTCCTGGGTCAGAGATTTCTTTAGCTGTAATTGTGCGTGGACAGAGCCTCATTTAAAAATGGTTCCGCAGAGAAGGTGGGGGAAGGCGTGTGTCGTGGATAGTGCTGCCTGTGTCTTACACAGGGCTTTGCTTTATGGGCTGGAAACAGAGAAGAAATTCAGCACGACAATGGCGGYAAACATTTTGTCTTCAAGAGATCATTACAGCTCTAAAGACATTTAGCATCTCACAGACATCTGCTAAACTGAAAATGGGTAACAGCACTAGAATCAARCATTTCCCAATAACAGGAGTGAATTGAAAAGTGCAATCATTATGCTAGTCTGTTACAGGCTGTACAGTTTTATTTTTAATTATTATTTGCCTTCAAAAGAGCACTTTGAAGTGCTGCTGAGATAAAAGCCCTGATGAGAKAGGCAAGGGACAAATTTGTAGTGAAAAGCTACCCCTGACTAGTAATAGTTTTCAAAGCTGTTAAGTACATTTTGTGGAAGTGCCTCTATTTCATGTCAAATATGATGACCTATCCTTCTGGATACTTATATTTTTATTCCTTTGTGTATGTTCCCATCTCCTCTCAGAACCTAGTGAAAAAATATGGGCCATTATAAGGCAAGAATCAGATTGTKAATGTGATTCTTTCCTACTTCTCAAATATTTTGGCACATCAGAAATTCATAAACCTTTCTTTCCACTTTTCTCACCCCCACACATGACAAATAATTCAGTTTTTATATTAAACCAGGGTGTTGTACTTCTATCTTTTATGTTAGCGTATTTACTAAGCCGACAACTGCAGCACCCTTAAAATGAGTTTATAGTCATTTACTTACTTTGAAGGTATTCTAGAAGACTTCCATATCTCATCAGCTCAGTAATAATATAAATTGGGTCCTCCAAAGTGCAGACAGCATAAAGCTGTATAAGCTTTGGATGTCTCAAGTTCTTCATTATTTGTGCTTCCCTCAGAAAGTCTTTTGGATCCATTGAACCTGAAACAACAGCATATAACAAAACATAAGCTGAGGTTATTAAAGGCCTTCCTACCAGCCTGGCAGTCTTAAGGGGGTAAAACTGAGATTGTTCTCTGTCTTTGAAAGTACATTAGCATCTCAAATCTTCACAGTTCCCACAGAAAACAGACAGTGCAGCTGAAACAAACAGTTAATGAGTGAAACATGCCGGTTGCGTGGGGACAGAGAACATATGTGTCCCAGCCACCAGAAATATAAAGGCTGAAACCAACCACCCCCAGGCCTCCCCCAAACAGGAAAAAACAGTGAGGCCAGAATGTTAAGAGATACATTTTAAGCAAACAACTGGTTAATGAAAGGACCAGAAACTGAGGTGAGAGCATCTAGGTAATGAACATAAAATTTCTGAGAGAAAACTAGTGCTGCAATAAAAATTTGTTGCACTATATTTTCAGCTTCACCTATCAAAGCCTGAAAGCACTGRAATCACTTTAGCACATGCAGAGAAGATGTGTGCATTTTATATACACAGAAACAAATAGCTATTTAAAATGATCATGTAATAGCAACCCCATTAGAAATACCAATGTATGCACAGATGTAACATTAATTTTACAATCCCTTAAATGCCAAAMTGTCTTAACAGTAAATGATGCCAATTTTTTAAATGTTACATAAGGTCATAACACCTCTAGTTCAATTCATATACATASGGAGCCAATGCAGAAACTATGTCAAAGAAGCAATCAGAAATCCACAGGAAGCTAAAGTCATGTCAAATTTAGGATAAAAACTCATAAGCCCTGAATAGGGGATTGATTAGGAAAACATGCACAAATAAAGCAAAGCTTTCCATATGAAAGATCCAGTCGTGATCAGATATTGTCAGATGTTTGAGGAAGTTGGTAAATAATATCTATTTCAAAATTCTTGTACAAACAAATGTGAAATTTTTCAACTCTCAAATGTCTCTTTCCTCCCAAATCAAAATAGTTTAATTAAGAAAATATTACAGTGAATATTGGGGAGGAAARAAATCTAGCTATCCAGGTTATTCTGCTCTGTGTCATGTTTAAAAACAAGCTAATCTTACTCAGTAAGCAGACTAAGCCATTTGAGAAGCCAAGGCTGCAAGTATAAGAGTCTTTATGGTTTTTTTTTTTTTTAATATTAGGTAACCTATAAGGTTCATTTGGGAGTTTGACTCTGTTCCAAACAGGGATGTTTAAATTAAGTGAAATTCTTGGAGGATGTTAAATGGCTCAGCAATAAAATTCCAACAGAAAATCTGTTCTACAAAATGAACTAGAAAATCAGCCTGTTCTCCCAACACCTACCTTGAATRCCACCTCCTGAAAAATGCTCCAACCTACTTCCCAAAACATAGCAAWGATTTCATATCCTCGCATCTGTACAAGAGGAATGACTCAGAAATGCTCCTGCCATACACTTTATAAAAAAAAGAGCCATTTGACATTGCTGCTCAGGAGAGCAAAGATTACATTGCAAGGAACAGGTGCTCCTCTCTTCCATGTCCTCCTACTTCCCTTGGCAATCCCACACTGCCCAATTTGGCAACACTTTATAGGATGTCATTAGGAGGAATGGTCAAAGTTAATGGATTKCCATGCCATCAATAAATGGTGAGAAGCCAATGATAGATCTCTCCAACAGGTACAGGCTCTACTCATTTTCTTTAGTCAYTGTCTGAGGAAAGTGGGGACCTGCATGAAGAATAAATGATCATACTGGGTCTGGATAAAGCAGATTACAAAGGAGAGAAACCCCAGATATCTGTAAAGCTTACTGTATGTCCTTTTCCTTAGAATAGCACAATCTTTACAGATTTACTTGAACTTTCCAGCAATTCTATTTTTTTTTTTTTAAAAAAAGATTAAGTTTAGGGCTGTCTTTATAGGGTTTGGACTCACTTTGATATTGATTTATAAYTATGCTCCATTTGCTTACTCGTTTCAAGATATATGCATTATCATAAAAATCAACCTGGAATCTACAGAGAAGCTGCACGGTGTGAAGCATTCTGCCTCCAAAAGCAAAYGCATGAGCGTGACTAATGATTTAGCATCAGTGCCAAAATTTGACAAGTTGATCCTAAAAAGGATAAAGTACTTGCTCACTTAGGGTCTGCCAAATCATGGCCCCWCTATGGATCATTATACAGGATTTCTTCACCCCATAGAATATGACAGTCTGATTTGTTCCCACCATCAAAGTTCGCCTACAAGGAATTTCTCAGTTTAATAATGCTATAAACTTCTTCCAACAAACTGGAACCAAGCAACATGTTTTTCACATATGACAACTCTCAATGATCTGATCAGGAGGGAAGTTTTCCATTAGCTGAATAGATGCAAAACCTTTTCTACACTGTAAAAGCAAATAACAGTRACAATAATGATAACAAACAAGAAAAAGATCAATAAGAATTTCCTGCATGTTTTAAAGAGCATATGTAACCTTCAGTTTCACTTAGTTTATATCTTTAAATAGCACAAGCATCAGACAGTGCCCCAAACCCCAGAGGCCTTATAGATCTTATATTGTGCTTAATAAGAAGATTGGATGCCAACTGAAAAAAAAATTAACAGTGTCTTTATGAGCATCCTGCCTAAAATTAGGTTTTARCAACTGAATAAGCAAATTAAAAACTGCCTCTAAAAGCAACCAAACATGCTTGTTAGAAATTAGTTGATAAAGCCTGTGACAATAGCAGCAAAGAATTTATGGTACATCCCTTTGAGGAAGGAAGCACATGCCACATGGAGTTTCAAATAACTGAGGGGGTTTTAGCTTGTAGCTGAATATGTGTGTTTTTAATGAAATATACATTTTCAGATGTGGTGGTAAACACAAGATTAAAAGCAGGCTACTGTAGATAGAAACCACTTGGTCATAAAACAACTAGTTAACAGAAGCCTTTACTGAAACAAGCAGAGGCTTCTTTCATGTGAGATACCAATTTGGGAATAAATTTATCAGAACCTGAGGAAAATATGGTTTTAATAATCTGGTTTTCTGAGTGATTTTTTTTTTCTAAATGTCAAAGTCATTTTTAAGAAAAAAATGTTGGAATCTCTTTCTTTGATATGTTCTATGTTGTGCTGCTTTGCCAGGAATCACCTCTAACTTAAGCCTACTTAAAAGAGGTATAACAGTTCTGATTAACTTTTCTTTGGAAATATTTTCTTCTAGATCTGAAGAAGCTTCACATTCTAACATAAACACTGAATATCTGGAAATGAGTTAGAGAGGAAGGTCAGTTATTTTCCAGATTCCACTGGCCTAAATATAAATGGCCCTTAAATATTCRATAAACCCTTCACAAGACTCTTTGTTTGCAACTTTCAATTAACCTTCCCAAATTACTTCAAAGTAACTTTGTACTTCAGAGGAGTCTAGCCTTCTGAAGAAGTTTATACAAAATTAATTTACTTGGAGACTACATCAAGCATATAACTGTGATCCTCTGAAGAAGTTTATGAGTAATRAAGAAATAACATTATAAAAAAACAAGTATTTGGTAACACAAGAGACTAAAAAAACCCTATTCACATGAACAGATGAATATCTTTATCTGAATGTTCCCAAGCAGCTTTGTCACCATACAGAAGCAAGCTTACCAGTGAGTGTAGGGTCACATACTGAATTAAATGGAATAAAAGGATCTTTTCTTCAGGATAATCAGAGGGCTTCCCTGTGTGCAAAGCTTTTTACACTTCACATGTATTAAAGAGATGACATATTGAAGAACTGAAAATATTATTAAAAACTCCACTGACAGGACCAACCTAGACACTATTTTGGGAAAGCCTCCTGAAAAAAAATAATCATGCTTGGACAGCTTCCATGCAGAAYGAAGCTTGAAAGATGCTTTGCAACATGATAGTGACAAATGTGTCCATCAATTTCAACAAGCATAAGGAAYTTTATCAGATACAATTAATTGGTGATGATAGATGTCTGCTTCACATGCTGACAGCTGGAGAAGCAAGCTAGCCCAGACAATAGGTCCTAGAAAATCCATCACACTCAACACAGAACAAAGTGCAAATCCGTTCTGCAGTGATTTCTTCTAAAATAGAAAAAATAATGTCTCAGTGAGGAAATAAAAACAGAAATGTGAAATGACATGTTCAGGGACCTGCATCAAGACAATGCTGTGCAGAACYGAAACCAGAAATAACAACTGCTACTTTCTAGACTTTTGCTATCTACTGATCCCTACACCTCTTTGAAAACTGTGGGTCAACAGCTCAAAAGTCAGAGATGATCCTTAAGGAACATCTCTATGTTTTGTTTTCTCATTCACACAGCCATTGCTGTGGTTTTGGATGGTAAAATGTCACAGATGTCTCCAAAGCAGAGACAAGTGAACAAGTGAACAAACAAGGAGAATTATCTGAAAAGAAGTATGACATCAATACATCTTTTTGTTTATAGTCACACTTACCAGCAGATTGTAAAAGGAATAAGRAGACATAATGGACAGAACATTGACTGAATGACATTTGAGAGCAAAGAGTGGAATGATCACAGGGAATTCCAGTTGCTGTAATTGTGCTGAAGGGACAAGGGATGGATTGTGTGCAAATTGTTGACTTTGGTGTTGTGATTATGGTATTTCGGTTTTTGTGTGGAGAATTCTTTTTCTTGATGTTAATGAAGTTCATGAAGTGTTTGTGATGAATGTGGACTTTARTGATAGTTCTTGCATATGTGATGCACAGAACTGAGGTGCAGAAGGTATTAGGTTTAAATGGAAAACTTTTGGTAGTGGAGGCTACATGGATGTTTCTGTGAGAAGCTGCTAGAAACTTCTCCCAAAATTGTCACAGAAACTGCAGAAAAACAAAAACCCTTCAACATTTTACTGTTAGAGAATCAAGACATTACTTTATTTCTGCCCAGGATGCTCAGGCTAGGATGTGCAACAGAAATAATTTCATCCACATATTGCCTGAGTTTGCAGAGAAAARCATTCCATGACACATAAATTTTACCAGATCTTTCATAAACTCAAAGAAACTCAGTCAAAACTCATAGAAACTCAGTGGTTCAGTGTTCATTGGTCACAAGTTACACAGTTCTTAGTATTTGTTTTCCTATTGGATATGGATTTCTTGGCCTCTAATGCTAAGTAGGTCCTCATTCTCATCTCTCTTTTCACAGATCAGGTGTCTTTGACCACGCCAGGGGTGAGGTTTGGAGCTGATGTTCTGTTAAAGGCTCTTAATGGTCCTTAATGATCCTTATCTTCTGTGCTACTCCCAGTCTGTTGAGATGTTAACTTCATCAGACCTCACCGGGTAGAACAATATCTTGGAAAGAAACTTCAATTCCCTTTCCCTGGGGCAAAGGCAAACAAAACTGATTAAAGTTGCAAAAAAATTTTACATTTCATATAATCTCCAACATGACGTCCAGCATAACCAGTGCCAGTCAGCTTCTGGATTGGCCCACTGCCAAGCCCAAACTCATCAGAGTTGACAGCACCTCTGGGATAAGATTTAAAAATGGGGGAAAGAAAACAARTGCAACACCAGCAACAGCCAGAGAAGAGAGGAGTGGGAATATGTGACCCACCCTGGAGCAGTCTGGCCCTGGAGGGATGAATCCCTTGGAAGAGACCCACATTGGAGCAGCTAGTGAAGAACTGCAGCCCGGATGCAGGCCTAAGTGAGGAAGGTTGTGGAGGACTCTTGCGTGGTAGAGATTACTCCATGCAGGAACAGGGAAAGAATGAGAGGAGCCCTTTCTCTGAGGCAGAAGGAGCATCAGAGACAACTTTTGATGTATTGACCATAATCTCCCTTCCCTGTCCCCCTGCATCACAGTGGAGGAGTAGGTAGGTGGTTTGGGAGTGAAGCTAAGCCCAGGAAAAAGGCAGCAGGGAAGAAGATTCTTGSATTCCTGACATCCACACTTTCCAATCATTGTAAAGAAATGTGCTTTACCAGCATTTATATTTTCTCATTGTAATGTACATTTTTACTCTATGTTTTATCTGATATGTGAGTGTTTATTTCTTCCTGGCAATTATTAAAATATCCTGATATATCTGAGATGCTGTTGATGCCTAAAAAGAGTGAAAATGTAGCTTCTATGCTGCACATCAATGTTTCTGAAATAAACAGTTTGYGAAATATCCAGTTTGTATACAATATTTGAAAAATTGGTGCTTGCTCCAAATTGGAACAGATTCAGATTTCTGAATACCCTAATTACTCACAAATCAGGAATCACATATTTGCATCAAGGGAGAACTGGCTCTGGGGAAGACCCATTACTGCCATCTCACCAGAATTCTGGGAGATTAATTTTTCCTATATGTTGGAAGGTCATAGGGCCATAGAATCATAGAATCAATAAGGTTGGAAAAGATCTCTAAGATAATCGAATACAACCATTAACCCAGTACTATCACGTTCACCACTAAACCTTGACCCCCAGTGCCACATCCACATGCCTTCGGAGCCTCTACAGGCACGGTGATTCCATGAGTTCCCCAGGCATCTTGTGATCCCCAGTGCTTGACAAACCTTTCCATTAAAAAACTTTTCACAATATCCAATCTAAACCTCTCCTGGCACAATTTGATGCTGTTTCCTCTTTTCCTGTTGCTTGCTACCTGGGAGAAGACCAATCCTCACCTCACAACACCCTCCTTGCGGGCAGTTGTAGGGAGTGATGTGATCTCCCSTGAGCATCCCCTTTTCCAGACTAAACAACCCCAATTCCCTCAGCCACTCCTCATAGGACTTACCCTCCAGACCCTTCCCCAGCTCCATCAGCCTTCTCTGGACACTTCAATGTCCTTTTTGTAGTGAGGGGCCCAGAACTGGACACAGCATTTGAGGTGTGGCCTCAGCAGTGCCAAGTACCGAGGGACAATCACTGCACTGGTCCCCCTGGCCACACATCCTGATATAGCCCAGGATGCTATTTGCTTACTTGGTTTTAAGCCTTTTAGCAGCAATAGCTAGAGTTTAAGTCTAGAAAAAGCTGTTTGAGAAATGAGAAGGATACTATACAATAAGAAATTGCATTTAGCCTTTCTAAAGTCAATTGAATGCAAAGAAAAACTAATGCATASAAATAGGCATTTATTACAAGAAGACATGGCAAGGGTTAAAGCGAAGACATTGGGCAAATTCAAATACAAAATTAGGTCCACATTCTTTCAATGCCTTCATTTTAGGTCTAGAAGACTTATTGCTATTGTCTAGTCAAGAACAAGCTGTGTTTTGATTAAATATAAATWCTAATCTCAGCAGAGGGATGATGTGTAATGGCAAACAACAGCAAAGTATTCAGATTATATATGGTCTAGAAYAGATGTACACTGCAAARTAATGCTCAGCAGAAAACCTCAAARTAACAGAAACCCYTTCTGGCCTTCAGGCCTATAAATCTATGACATGCTGATTGCATTATGCTCTTCTGTATTGTTCACCACGTGATTGTCCTACTTGATCAGCCCGCTCATGCTTGGTAATAAGAGCATTGTTCCATTTCACAGTTTCTCTGAGGTTTCCATCTCAGCTCCATACATTTGCCAGATCACTTCACATTTTACACACTGCTCTGCTGTTCTGAYCACTTTCTTGTCCAGAGATTCTACACTGTAAAATAATTTAGTAAAAAGTCTGTAGTTTAAAATACACCTCCTCCTGCGCCCCAGTGTAAAGACAAGTAATTTAGATTTTTGAGCCAAGCAACAGGATATGATAATTTTACAGTGTGCTACACTTGAAGCCTGAAACAKTGCTTATGTGAATATTGAAAGGTTCAATCATCAACACAATGTATTTCTTGATTATTTATTAACTAYTATGTTTTCCATTCATTTATCAACTCTATATTATGGTGAATGAAATTACCAGCCCTACCTTTTGCTGAAATTTTATTAGTACCAAGGTAAACATTTATTACTCAGATTAGGATGAGGGTATTGGTGTTTGGCTTTAATTAGTGAATTGTTATTTCTCATGAGTAACAATGAGAACAAGCTATGGAAAACCAATGTGCTGCCTAYGGTAAGGCACTCCAAATGGTGAAAAACACTGTATAGAAGAGGAAAATTCCCTGGAGAAGTAAGACTGCAAGGTTAAATGCTTACATTTCTGTCTGTTTGTACTGTTTTTGTAAAATGGGATAGTTCACAAAGTACACTGATAAGAGATTCAGTATTAATTACATAATTTATCAAGATGGCTTTGGGAAACAAAGTCTTCATTCTGAGCAACATTATGTGCAATGCTCAACTCCCTTATCACAGCATTAGGTCACAAACTCTGCTATCCAAGCACTGCATCCAGATGGGATTTCTGTCTGCACTAACTCAATACAGCCTGCCCTAACTCAATACAGCCTGCCATGAAATCAGTGGGACTGCTGCTGTTGACCTTAGCAAAAGTCAGACTCGAGTGGAAAAAACAGATAGAAAAAGTATTGATTAATCAAGCCATTTTTCCCAGGTGAGCTATGATACTACAAAAACAATCACAGCTGAAGGAGTTTCTTCCATTATACTGTGCTAGTCTTGCAGTGAGTCTTATGTTTATTCCAGTGAGGAAAAGATTTCAAGATGGTTTCTATTTACTGGATCACTAGGGAGACGCGCCTGCTCACTGAAGAAAGTACTGTCTTTCATATAAATTATAGAAGCTCTTTAATTTGAGCAATTTCTATATTTTCAGTTAAGCAGAGGGGAGAAAAAGTGCTTATTTTCTTTCAATTTACATGTCCCAAAACACAAACCATATCCTGATACAAGAGAGCTTCAAAACACATGTTTAAATCCCTCCCTGTTCAGAAGACTATTCMAGCAGTGCTCAARCATATTGATGGTWTTCTGAATCAAAGGTCTGAATCTGTTCTGCTTCCTGAATCATGTTCATTAGTGCCCAACACAAGCTTTTTCAATTAACCACAACTCATGTTGTTATCTTCTTTTCAAAATCTTGTATGTCATCCAGGCTACCTCTCTTATCTATGTGGTTCTTGCCATCTGCTGGCAGATATTTTGTTGTCAATTTAAAATGCACACATTACTTGAGGTTAATGAAACGTAATTAAGAAAAATGCTAAAAGCTGTATTAGTCACAATCTTATATTACATGCACATAGTGGGTTTAAATGCTGTGAATCAAAAATTTTGAGAAATTTTATTCAAGCAATACTAGGATAAAAGCGCTTCTTAAGTACAGACTTAGCATAATACAAATTCCATATTACCAGAGAAATTATTATAATATAGCACCTAACCACTAGRAAAATTCTACAGTTGACAAAACAGTAGTAAATCAATCACTTTACCAACAGATTATTGAATCTTAAGTTACTTAATTCCATACAAACAATACTGTATATACAAATACAAAATGGGTATTACCCTTGTTGTGGGTGCTTTTTTATGTAACACAGGTGTCAAATGAATTCAGCTCATCTAGAAGCAGGAAACTGTATAACATTTTAATTCAAAACACCAAAGAATATCTGGACCTAAATCTTTACCAATCTTCATGTTTAGGTGGGTAAATTTTAAGAAAGACTGCATATATGGATAGGCTCTCTTTGCMATAGCATTTAAAAAGTAAAGGAACATTCTTGCTAATATTTCATATTATTAACATTTAAGAATAATTCACATACCTGGCTTTAATGTTTTGATTGCCACAGGGGTGGTATTATTCCACAGTCCTTCCCATACTTCACCAAACTGACCAGATCCTAATTTTTTCACGAATTTCAGAGATAGTCGGTCTATCTCCCACTGATCAACAGTTTTRTAAGACAAATCAAAGGTAGCAGGAATTTGTACCTGGTAAAAGAAAATAAGTAACACAATAATTGAGACTTGTAATATTTTTTCAATAACATATACAAATTACTGTAACTGTGTCACGTAAAGCTGGAACAAATATAAATAATGTTTCCTTAGAGTGCACACATGTGATAAAGTGAGMCATGAGCATAAAATACAGCCCACACATTGGGTGCTTTTTGTTAGAAATAAGAAATATGCAAAGAAAGTATCCTGCCATTAAAAGCAAAAAAATCTCTAGCAAGATTTTTGAACCGTGACGTATTTTTTGCCAAAACCTTGTGGTTTTGTCTCAGTAATTACTTATGGACAGCTTGAGTTATGAAGTTGAAGATTTCATCTCCACATATATTTATAAAAAGGTGTCCATAAATCATGATTTGGCATATTTTCCCCCCAGACATTTGATGATTTTTTTTTTWAATGGCATGGTATTTCATCATTAATTTGCCAGCCTCAAGAATGAAACAATAACATTATCCAGAACCTCCTCAAAACAAGAAGATCATCAGCATTTAGAAATGGTAGAAGCAGATATGGGGTCAACACTTTCTGACAGATATCTGATGAGTAAGCTCACAATAAATATTTTTCACAATGTAGCATCCGCTCCTTACCTTTAGGCATGGCTCTTTGAGCAACACGCAGAGGCCATCACTGGTCTTGCTGTAATAGTCAACCAACTCATTCAGAGTTTTGAAAGTTTTCCTTTTGCTTAAGAAAAAGTTTCCATCCAGCCTTTTGATCCTGTAGTGCTTCACAGATGTACCATCAAAAACTACAAAGATTTAAATACATTAGGTATTAATGTATTAGGTGTCCAGGAATTATTGCAGCAGTACAATATCATTCGTGCCCAAAGCATCATCAGGTTCCTAAATATATTTATGAGTACCTTAATATAAATTATTTTTGTTTCAAATATGGCAACCATAAAAARTCTCCTTCAAACCAAAGCCCATTGTTCAGATAGCTCAATACATCTCATCTATTAATATTCAGCCATTTAGATTTGATGCAGAAGAACTGAAGTAGAAGTACATAAATACATCTTCTGTGAGGCAGCTCATGTTTCCCATCTTTGATGACACCAAAACTGCCCAAAAGCATCTATTTGACAGAAAATCATTTATTCAGTTTTTAATATGCTTCATCCTTGTTTATTGTAGTGTTACCATTCCAAATAGCAGCTGCTGGGCTAGCAGGCATTTTAGAGGAAATTTTAGAGGAAACATATTTACCCTACACATGGCTATGATTCGCTGCAAAGGACTCACATCTTCCAAGGGTTGTTTTTTTTTATTTTGTGCATGTTTGGAATACGCAAAAATCAGGCGAATAATGCTCCGTTTTAAGCAGTTGATTAATTCCTTTCCATTGAAATGTGATTTATTCTAATCTGCTGTGTCTTAATCAAGAAGAGCACTTCTCACCTCCTGTAGGTCACTCATTGGCATATCATGACACTCAAAGTGTCCCTCCCTATGAYCATCAGGGAATTCCAGATGTGTCAGAAAAAAAGTTGGGTCACTGCATGCTGGGGCTAGACCTGGACCAGCACCAGATCAGAGAGACACAAAAAATGCATATAAGTCACACACACAAAAAGAAAGAAAGGAAAAAAAGAAAAAAGGAAAAAAAATATTTGGAGACCAGTAGTTTAGAGATCTCCTTTACAAAGGARTATCAGTAGTTACAATAGCAGGCCCAGAATTATCAGAGAGGGCAGTTCAGCAGAGCTGAAAAGGTATTTAGACACTTTTGAGGGTGTCATTTACAAGACACTCCATTATTTAGGTATCACTGCCCATTTTCAATGGGCAGTAGAGAGTKTATATTACATGCAGAAGGGTAACTAATTTAGCTCCTAAGAAGGCTACAGCTGTTAGCTCTAACATTAACAGTGTTCCACAATAAACCTAGCTGAGAGATTCTTTACACCACTGGGATTTTGGCGATCACTTCGGTTATAAGAGAAGAATACACGGTGACGTATGTAGAAAAAATATAGAATTGGTTGCATGAAGTTAACAAAGCTGATATGAAGATAATCTGTCTCACCATCTAAATGATGAAATCAAAGAGGTAATCTCTCCTTCCTTAAATAATATCATGGATAAGCAAATATTTTTGCACTGTACTGTGAGATTGCCATCACAGACCACCAGAGTGCAGACAGGAGCTGTTCAAAATACTCCACCTCAGGTAGTATTTGTAGGGACCTGAGAATTTAAAATTCTGCATGAGGACAGGAATAAGAAAATTTGTAAGTAAAATCCATATTACAAAGATAAATACATCACACTTTTCAAATTAAATTTCTTTCATTTAACACCCATAATTGCTACTTTTTAGCTGTAAAATTCATGAATGTTTTTATGATRTATCATTTGGAAATGGAGCTGAAGCAAAATGAAGGGAAGAGTAATTCAGTAACAACAGACTGAATATGTAATGCCTTTTCCAAAGTTCACAGGAAAATTAATCCAAGCAAATTAATTAGTCTTTATGATGCATCGAACAAAAGTTCCACAGGATGACTGCGTTAATCCAGTTGCAGTAGTATATCACAGTAGTAGTTTGACTAACTGCTTTATTTATTAGAAGTATTATAACTATTTACTTGTGAAGTAGATAAAATTAATAATGCAAGAGCTTGTTTGAAGGATGTGTTCTAATTTCCTAAATGAGCCTTTTACAAAGCCTTATAACTGACAGCATCCAGGTCAGGTGGTGATGTGTGTGGAGAAGCTGGAGAAAATTTCTGCACTGATACTGCCTCATCTCATATTAAGTAGCTGAGATTAGTGTAGTATTTGACAGGGTTTTGTTTACTTGTATCCCAGGGCTGAGTCTGGCTGTACAGGTCCCACACCACACACTTGCAACTCTGCAGCTTAGTGGGGCTCCTCATGTCACTCAGGAAAGAGATATCCATTACCCCTTCCAGTCATCTCTACATCCAAGCCGCACTACCAAACAGGACAGGATGGTAATCTCAGTTTCCAACAGCTTGATGGTAGTTAAATTTGAAGACTGCAGAGTTTTTCTCCTCAATTCRTCTTTTCCAAAAGAATTACAGCTCCCCATTACATTTCTACATAGTTTCAGTTTAGCAGAAGGATTATCCTCTCCCAGATATCCATCTTCATGTGATTAGGTTAACCAGAAGTAGATTTTGCTACCCGAAGAATGTGAATAAAATGATTTACTATTCCTTCCCCAGGGCACACAAATTTATGGTGTCATCAGCAGAGTCAACACCTTCCCTGAGTGAATTATGGAGACACTAATGTGCCATTACTGCCAAAAACGATGTGTCCCAACACGGCTCCTGTGAGCAGTCCTGCCCCAGCACTGGCCATGCAGCTCTGCCACCAGCACCTCTGTCACCAGCACCTCTGCCACCAGCACCTCTGCCACCAGCACCTCTGCTCTGCCTCCCTGCCCAGGCTGGATGTGGGAGGAGAGTGACCCATGAGATTACTCTCACCAACATAGAACAGGTGCAGAGGCAGATCCAAAATAATCCTCTCTCTACAGCCATGAATTTTCCAATTCTGTGAGTCTGCTGCCTTAAACAGCTACCTGCTTTTCCTATGCTGAAACTCAGTGTGGCCTAGAGGAAACYACACAATATTCTTTTTGAAGCATGGAAGAAACAGCTGAAGAAAACACAAACCATTTACATTGTTATTTAATGCAATAAGTCTTTCAGATACCATTATTCAGTGAAGAGCTAAGTAAAGAGCCTCCTGCTATCATTGGCAATGACACTCAATTAAGCTGAGCACATCTAAATTATGGCTTTTAATTAAAAAGAAGCAATGTCTAAGATGGCACCAACATGTTTAAAATTTAATGCATTTCACACCAGATGCTGGAGTCATCAACATAAAAATCTGTCGACAACATGTGCATTTTTAAAATGGAAAAAACTATTTTTAAAATGTCAAACACTCTAAATTTATAGTAACACATCTCAGTGGCCTATCTGGCTTCATGAGCTTCCTATTTAACTATTCACAGATGAWAAAAACCTTTCTGAATATGAATTTTTGTTTTTAATTTAAATAATTATTTATTATCTAAATCTTACAAATTGAGAGCTTTCCCAGCTTGGTAAGTTAGAAGTAAAAAGTKTAATTTTCATGAAAGATAGATTTTTTTAAAAAAATTCTCTCTTGTTAAGGGGATCATTTGTCTCCCTAATTAATATTAAATCTCACATATATCTCTTTGCCCATATGAAATCAAGCATGGAAGTCATAAAATCAGTTTATGAGTTCTTGGGTAAAAATCTYTCTTCCTTTCCAACTTATTTTTTACCTAAATGGCACGCTGGACAGAGAATTAAAATATTTTCTCAAAGACCTTAATTCTGAAAGCCAGGTTGTCGCTCTTCTAGTCATTGTCATCTACTCTGCAATGAAACCAAAACAGCAATAAAAGGTAGAGCAAAGGCAATCAGAACTACAGAAGATGGGACTTTTGTGGCCTAATGTTTCTGGACTGAAAAAATTAGAAACAGAAATTAGGGACATATTCCAAAATATCAGCTTGAGACTTCCCCTCTATCAGTGTATCAGCTACCACAGAGATAAAAGCCAACCTTCTGCCTCAGCTTTAGAGTTTCAGAATTCCTACTGATGGCACAAATGGGAGAGAGGTAGGAAAACTGCCTTCTTCGTAGCACCTGCTGAGCTAAACAACCTTCTTCCCTACTAATGCTTCCCTCAATACAAACCTTTTCATCGTTTTCTTCAGCATGCACTAGCTTTCCAAGTAATAGACAACAAGTAATGAGATTATGGACATAAAACATCCAGACCACAATGCTTACTATTAGCCTGGAAGCACAACTTGCACAATACAAACAGTTGCCATTCAGCTAAGCCAAATCAGTGAGCAGCAAATAATATTTAGCTATTTGGGGTGTTAAGGATAAGTTATGTTCGACTCTGGGAAGTGGCTATAACGATCTAGGAGCACTGGGGAATGATGCCACTAATAGCTTCTACAGATCGCTGCAGAGTTTTCCTCTTTCTTTGCCTAAAATAGCACAAATATTTAAAAATCTGAGATTATACATATATTCATGCATACATGTTCAGAGGACAACCTGTTTGTGCATGAAGGAGATCTGGCTCCTGTAGCTGGAGCCTTGCCTCTGTCTATATTATGTTCTTCAGTGCCACTCTTACCTTTCTTAATCTTACAAACCAGCATGAAACAAATCCACACTGTTGGTTTCATAACTTGCTTTAATCAGTCATCATCAAATTTCCTGTTCCCAAATTAGCTTGTACAAAAATGTAAAAAATGTTTACCACAAGCTTTCATAATTGAATCAAATATACTAAATCAGATAGAATAAATTTTCYATCCAAAATTTGCAAGGAGAAAACCAAACAGCAGCATCAAAGGATGATCTTATCCTACTGCAAATGCTGGCCTAATATTTATTTTCATTCTTTTGGGTTTTTCTCCAGAGTATCTCATAGTTTACCTAAGTTTAACTAAGACACTGACACTTTCCTCTTAAGGATGCARGATAAATAATTAATATTTATTTTAAATCTTCCCTAAAAGGCTATAGCTGGAGAATAATAAAAAGAAATTGCATTTCCACCCCCAGGTGCACAAGCAAAAAAATTTTCATTGATTATAAGGTGCCATCATTAAGAAGATAGTAAGGGCTTGGTTTCCTTCCCTGCTTTATCACCGCACTGTGATCAGTTTAGCCCAGTCCTTGGAGAAGCATTTCATTCATGGAGAACATTTGGAAGATGCTGAAATTATGTGACACAGCAATAAGTTGGCACATGGAGAGACAGTATTTTGAAAGGTCTATGGCTGTATTAGGGTCCTTTGGTTGAAAGTGTGCACACAATGGATCAGTCCTATCACCACTCAGGAGCAGTCTGATTCCTTGCTGAAGGCAGCTTTCCTTTAAGTGCTTCATGGCAAGAACCAACTTCCTTGAGGGCAAACTGAAAACTATGGAGTGAACTCTCCCAGAACYGTAATTATCACATTTATTTCAATAAAATTTCCTGTACTTCACATTTCTTTGTCTTGGCAATAGAAAGCATTCTTCSCATTACCACAAGGCATTGCAGGTAAATACACTTCCCCTATAATTGGGAAAGTGAGACCAAGAATGTGTCAAAATTCATTAAGCTGTGTTTCTGTGTAATGTGCGAAGGTGAATAACACGTAATCATCCAGGCAAAAGAGGAGTCAATATGAAAGAATCTGGCTATGGACAAGAGGCYGCTCATTTTACTGACATAATTCTACCATGACCACTCATAGTTTATCCACAAACATCAAAATATTTCCTGGTCTCTGTAATTAATACAGRTAGAATRCATTCAAAAATTTGGGTGTGYAACCCTGTTGTCTCAAGGACAACACCATATCCCTGACTGGCAGTTGCATGGCAGGTTTTATGGGAAATATTCACAGAAAAAAAACAATGAACAATCACATTTACTATCTAAAATGGCAAATATCTAATGCAGGAAAAAACATTATGTACTCAGATGCGAGTGAGTAAAATTATTTACAAATAAGTGTCTTAGTTTAATAATCATMATCATAAATCTAATTTTTTACTCATATTTACAGTGAATTTTTCAATGGAACATGACTGATTCTAAAGTACAGCTTTGAATATCTTCCTGTGATTTTATTCCTGAAAACAAATAAGTAGAAATCTAACAGAAATCTCCTTTTCTTAAATTGCAGATATCTGACAACATGCTTTTATTTTTATTTTTGTTTTGTGTACTAATCAGAACAGTAGTGTACAACTGTAATGTACTTTTTTATGCTTTGATCATGAAAATACTATCTATTTTAAGGCAGCTAGAACACTGGAAATACTAAGCAGAAAAAGTTAATTTSTGTTTTGAGCATATTGATAAACAAAGTCTATGCAATATAAACTCAAATTACTTTTGCCAACTTTCCTTTCTATATCCCCTGGGGAAAAAAATATTATTAGGAACTTAATTCCATTTTTATGCCCACAGTTTATTGTTCTCAAAGATCAAAAAACCCAGATGACCTGAGAAATTTTTAAACATTGCTTCAGATGAAAAAGTAGAAAGTACCTGAGAGTGAGTATTCGCCTTTTAGACTTTCGCTTTCTCGGATTAGGAAGGCTCCTGCCTGGTTTCCAGGGTGTGACAGTTGTCTCTCGGCATCTGCTCGTTTGACTGGGCCAAAGAACCATCTGAAYAAATGAAAACCATTAATTTTAGCATTCAGTGAAACATAGCAGGAAGACAGTTTAGCTTTTATAAACATGCTGCATATTTACTAAGAGATAATCTGTGCTATGTTAATTAAATGTCAATAGTGTGGGGGGAAAAAGCCAGTGAGAGCTACAGAACAAATTTATTGGTYGAAAACACTGCTAACTCATTTGAGTGAAATCTGGATTTTATTGCTGATGAAAAGTCATATTGCTTTCAAGGCAACAAGCACTCAGAAGTGACAGACTGATCTTGTCCCAGAAAAAAATCACCAAGAAATTTTGCCAAGGCTACAGGGGCAGGAATTGATGCCAAGTCCATKGATGCAACTTGAGCTATGTAGGGGTGCAGGTATGTGCTAGCATCCCAACATCCTAAAAGCCAAAAGATCTCTGAAACTGCAGAAGGGCTCTCAGACTCCAAGGCGAAAATCACTCTGCTTCCCCATTCCACTGCCAYGTCAATACTCAAATGAATTACTGGCAATCTTTCAGCTTTGAGGCTGTTTGACAAACAAACCCAGCRTGTCCCTCAAGTCACTACAAACATCTCAACACCTGTGTTCTGTAAAAATCTACTCCAATCTATACCTTTTAAAACATTTTTCCTCTCTCACTGAACTCTGTAGTTCATAAAAGCTTGTTCAAGAAATTATTTTAATTTGCTCCTCTGAAAATAAGATTTAGCTCTCTTGCTRCTTTGTGCTGAGTTTAAATTAAACGGAAATAAGACAGAGATGAGTCAGCATTTTCAAATGGGGTGGTGTTCAGCTTCCTTCCAACAAACATGCAAAGCTCTTTCCAAGATTAGCTCCACCTCTCATTTGAAGCAAATGATGATAAATAGGTATCAGAAATATGCCATATACTCATTGGASAACTCATTTTAAATTAATCATAGCTAAAACTATTATACAAACTTCAAATATAAATCAATGGACCACAGGAAAGTTGCCTACTCAGTTAACTATTTCATTTGTCAATTACTAGTGAAAAGTAGAGGGAGTCATCAAAACACTATTTTAGTACCTACAGGGCTTGTAGTCATCAAGAGGAATGGAGGAAGTAAATGAGAACACTGGGTGATACCTTACCTGATCAAGCATCAGTCAGGGTACTGACAAATGGGTTTGTATTGACAAAGAGGAAATAAAAAGAGGGAAATACAGAGAGCACTAACCCACACTGGATATGCTTTGTTAACAGAAGAAATTTAAAGACAGTTTTTCCAGACMATATTCCTGTCCTCTGACTTGAAGATGATGTGGATGAAATAGGCTTTGATACATATTTGGCAAGCAAAGTAATCTCACTAGAAAGCTGAAATGTGTTAGCAGTAATTTTAATTAGTTAAATGTGTTCATTAATTCAACTAATTAATTTAATTAATTCATTCRTTAGACTGTAGAAAACTAAGTAATCAATAAACATTCAAAGCCTTGAGTAAATTTCTTGTCAAAAGAATGAGAAGACAGAGTACAAATTCAACTGTATTCAAATCCCAAAGAATATCTGTCTGCCCTAAAAACTGATTTAGAATCTTTCTGAAATCTCTAAATATACCTGGTCTGAGAATTACATGTGAAATCTAACAAACTCTATGAGGTGAAAAAAAAATTGAATATTTTTCCCCTTGAACAATAAGATATCACTTAACAATGCTCAAAATGACAGATCTTTATAGAGTGTATAAGAAGAGGTGTTTAATTTTTTGTCTCTTTTCTTCACGGATTACAAGAATTGCATCTTTTCAAAAGAATTTAATTTTCTACCAAACCCAAAAGAGTTTCCAATGCATTGTTATCAAGACTGGATTTTATGGTTAGGATAGTGAAAGTATAGTCTTTATGTGACTCAATATCTGAAAAAATCCTGTCAGTAACTCAAATTTCTAAAGCTGAAAACTTGAGTAGCAATACAATCTATGCARCTAGAGGAAATTGTTGGTTTATTTTGGAAATGTAAATTTATATAGCATTATTCAGCGTATGTAAAACCATATCTACAATATAAACCATGATTCAGGAAAATAATATGCACATAAGTGCACAGTATTGAGGCATAAGTACCTGTTTCTCTGATTTCAAAACATTTCAACTTATATGCTAATTTTTATTAGGCTGGAAAYACTGCACTTAAATCTATATGAAATTGCCATTAACTGTTATATGGAGGACATATAACATGCAGGTTCTGACTCCAGATAGGCTTAGCAGTTAAAAAGATCCTAMCTTGCAAAATAAGATAATTAGAACAACAGTATTAGAGAAGGTAAGTGTAACTGAAGTTATTATGGAGGGTGAAAAGTGGACGCATATTGTGTATTASCTCATTTGCTGACTTTATATGATCTGATTAAAATGTTTCAGAAAAATGCAGAGAAAATTACTTTTAATAGCACTTGAATATTTGATTCTTAGTTCAAAGCCATTTGGTTTGCAATAATAATTATACAGTACCAAAAGTAATATCGAACGTGAAAAAACAATCTGCTAACTTCAAAGTAAATAATTTAATTTGTTATTCAGTTGGGTTTTTTTTTACAGAAGCACATCTGAATTTAAAGTACTATGTTCAGTGTAATGGAGGTTTAAATTCCTTTTACAAAGCATGAAGAGCTTATTTCGATTTCTAGCAATTGAACTTATGCTTCAAAAGGTTTAATATTTTACCTCATCCACAAGTGTGTATCTTAGAGCGAAAAGTGCTCTAAAAAGTAATAATGAATCAAAGTAATTACTCACCACAAGATATTGCTCTGCAGCATAGGAAGGTCAGACCAAAACAACACCCAATCCTTAATGAATCTATTCATGTTTTRTAGCTCAAAGACAGATGAAGGTTTTAAAACAGAACACTTGGAAAACAAGAACTAAACAYGAAGCACTATCCACTGCACAAGCAAAGTAACTTTTCTGACTTCAGTGCAGTGTATTGGCTTCGGACAGTCCAGGAGAAGTTTGAAGCAGCAATTCTTACACAGTATCACTTGGAACTTCAGTTCACAGCCAGGTCACTTCAGGGCATGATTGTCAGTGCTGGATCCGTAGATTACTAGGTACAGCACAAATGAGTGCATTCAGCATTAGGCACAATTTTCCATTTCYAGCAGGAGCTGTCTGCTTCTGGCTAGCACAGCAATAGTGCTCTTCTGCCAGTGACACCCAGGAATGTGCTTTCCTGGACAGGACTGAATCCAACATCCCAACTCCCTTTAAGTGTAGGATCCCAGATCTGGTTTGGGGGGATTGTTTGTAGCAGCTTCCTCAGAATCCCTTGCTTACACCATCATTCAYAGCTATCAGGAATACATTCATTAAAAATTCCAAAGGACTTCCAGGTCATTTCTGGCCACCACAGGTAGGAGGACTTTGGGGACAGAAAACATGACCTTCATGTGGGTCCATAACTAACACGGATTAACAAACACATCACTGCTGCAGATGATGCTCAGTACTGGAATACCAGTGAAATTTGTTGTGGTTATTGRGAGCTGAGTGATCACATTCCTATTGRYCACCAGTTCCACWAGAATGYTCATGATCACCGGATCACATCACCRRTCATAGCWGGATTTGTCATGGCATCTTCCCTGATGTGACAGTATCACTGCTGTGACCTCCAAAGACCTTCTTCAAGCAAAGGAAAGCTTCTTCTAGCTGAATGCTGATGTTTATACTTGAAGGGCAATGTTTTAAGAAAGAGAAATTATGTCACCTCACGCTAACTCCTGCCTCCCTGTTCAGCCCAGTTTGAGTTGAAACAGAGTTATGAGTTCAAGGGAAGTTGGTAGTGCTACCCGGCYCCATCGCTGCCTTTGCTGAGAAGCTTTCTGTCCTCCGGGGTGCAGTGCACTGCTCATCTCCATCTAAAAGTCAAAGCCCCATTTACCTGGCTCTACTTTCTGTCCCCCATGTTTTGCTACCTAAAAATCCACTAAGATAAAAACAATCACTTCACTTTTGAGTGGTGAAGAATAACATCGGCCAAGAGCTAAAGCAAAGAAAAATGTGGAGACAAAGTTCTCCAATGCTACACCACCAGCAACATTTCCAGTGCCTGATAACATGCTTAGAACAGGATAAAAGCCCCAATGGAAAAAACAAAATCCACTGAAAAAACGAAATATTCCTCTAACAAAAAAAAAAAAAAGTATGCAAAATAAGTTTTCTTTCCTCTCATTAATACAAAATCCCCTTCTGATCAAATCACTGCAATACACTCATTCAAGGCAGACTGAAGACTCTACAGAAGGTATCAACTAGTCTGGGAACTACAGGCTTTTTCTATCCTGAAATAAACTCCATCAACTACTCAGAACAAACAAACCCCCCCCCCCCCCCCCCAAAAAAAAAAAAAAATTGATTCCCAGCCATGCTCCAGATGAAAAAGCTCCCAGAGGAAATATTTTTTTGCAGTCTGCCATTCCTTGGACAGCCCTTTTTACAGACCATTCACCTCCCTACATTTGACCTCTCTTTTTGGTGTCTCCTAAATCCCTAACATGCTAAATCCTGACATCACAAGGTGTGTGCTGAGCCTTAGCCAAAACACCCCAGTCATGGGCCAGACAAAATACTTCTTTAGACTTGTCTTTCCTTGGGCAGCTCCTTCACAGTTGCATTCCAACATAAACTCTAAATTTATGATTAAAGACACTGTGTGCGCGCCCCTTTGGGATGTAGGTAAGGTGCCCACGAGCAAGCTAAGCACCAACTCTGAAATAACAGCTATAATCTTAAACTTTCTTGGAAGTCTAAGAAGATCCCTCACTGCTCTTTTGTTACCCACACTGAAAACCAGCAGAGAAAATGGTGTGCAARTCTGCCACCCATTTCCTTCAAGGCTCACCAGAGCATAGCTTGCCACTTTTATTCTCTACCATTACTTGGATTTAATACATACAGGAGCAAAGTCAGAATTAACTCCACAATGTCATATCTGAAGTAACTGAATTTGCTTTAATAACTAGCTGTAGC